CTACTCTACTCTACTCTACTCTACTCTACTCTACTCTACTCTACTCTCTTCCATTCCGTTCTGTTCTGTTCTGTTCTATTCTATTCTAATTTATGTTCATCCTTGTTCTCAATCCCCCTCACCAGCAGTTCTTCCATCCCAATGATCACAAATTCGGACACTTGGCAATTGACTCATCTTTATGACGGTTGCCATGTCCGGGGGGGGAGGGGTCAATAGGTGTGGACCTTCAGAGAGTAAGGAAGATGACCTTGATGGAAGAATCCAGAAGGCCCAGATGATGTTTGGAGGTGGTTCAATCAGACCCCGTTCCCTAATCCACTGATGTATAAGAAGGAGGTGCAACAGAATCAGACGTGCAAGATCCTGTTATTACAGCCAATTTCAATTTAAAAAAGTAGTTTTAGCCTTGCCGTGGAGTTGATTTTTTGGTCTGGTCTACTTGGTGGGACTGGCAAGGACCCACCTGATGTTCATATTCAGGGGCAAACACCTATTTTGTCCAATGTTTTGGCATCTCCTTCCTACCTACCTACCGTCCCTCCTTCCCTCCTCTGTCTCTCTTTCTTCCTCCTCACATAGCAGGCAGCCAAGAGAGACAGAACTGGCTCTTGCCGGAGATCTGAGGAGATCACTTGAAAAAGGTTGCTGAAATCGGGCCAAGGACCTCACCGAGCTGTAAGGGCAGCCACTGGCCCAGCCCTCTTACAGTGAAAGATTCACTTGGCAAATGTGCTTTTTGGCAGCGTGGAAGAAAAACCACCTCTCATCTGTGGGCAGAGAATCTTCTGAGATACACCTACAGGAGTAACTGGTGTAGCACTCCTCTGATTTACTCTCGCGATACTCTTACTGGAATCAGAATGATTTCCAGTAGTTGTTAATGTTCACTTCCAAGAAATGCAGAGATACCAGGAGGAGGCAGGCTGCGGGTGAGCAGGTGGGGAAACCTACAGGTAGTTTTCGATTTACCTACAATATTGAGCTCAATATTAAGCAAAGATTAGATTAGATGAACAGATTTGGAAGGGACCTTGTAGATCATCTAGTCCAGGGGTGTCCAACCTTGGCAACTTGAAGACTTGTGGACTTCAACTCCCAGAGTTCCTCAGCCAGCTTTGCTGGCTGAGGAATTCTGGGAGCTGAAGTCCACAAGTCTT